TCGCGGTCCCGTCGTTCTTCACCTTTCTGCATTGCAAACGAGAATGGCCGTCTCCCTGTGAATGGCGATTCGGCCATTCAAGAACTGCTGGATCAGCGGCCCCCTCTTTGGCATGAGGCAGGGCAAGGCAGGGTCGCCCGTGCAACTGGGATCGGGGGCTTCCCCCTAGAACATTGGAGCAGCCGCGACGCGTTTGCCAATCGCAAGGGGATTGGTGGAACTCCTTTAGTCCGACGCAGATTCTTCTCTTCCCGGCGGGCATCAGAAGCGCGCGCTAGATGTGCTTCATGGGTTTGAAGACAGGCCCAGGGTGACTCCAGAGTTCCTCACCCGCGTAATATTTGTAGATGAGCCAGGCGGAGGTGTCCGCCCGATCGGGCTGCTGTGCGCGTTTACAACGATCTGGTCGAAGTGCCGACAGGAGATCTACGCCGCCGCCGGGCACGGGCGCGGGGCGACCACCACTCCTGTAAAACAGCTGGGTGGATCCACGGCGCGTCGGCCCATTCCAGGAAGGCCTTTGGGACCTCAGTGACCACGGCCCCCTCAGATCTACAGGAGTTCTACGAGCATAACCGCATCAAGTCATAAGGACCCCCCCGGGTCGTCATTGGCACAGCACAGTAATTCAATATTTCTGGGGGGCGTTTTCGCCGAACCGCATGATTAGCACCGCGCAAATGGAACGAATAGGAATGCGCCCCGCGCCCCGGCTCGGGTGGTACCCCAAGTGGATTTGGAATAAGAATAAAAGTGGCATACGAGCAACAAGAATATGAGTAATACGAATGATACTAGTAAAAATAAACATGCTAAGAATACTTCTGAGAGTAACAATGTACGCAATTACCAGGATTACAACGTTAATCCGGGTTATAATAAAAACAATGATTCGAGTAATAATAAGAATATGCACGATGTAGTATGAATACGACTAATACGAATACTAATATTAATAAGGTTAAGAATCATAACACGGATAAGAGTAATAGTAAACATAGTAATGTCCAGAATAACAGTAAGAATAGTTGTAAGACATAAGAATACAAACAGTAGTCATAATCAGAATCCGAATAACAATAATAATAATAATGACGTTAAGAACCTGAATAATAATCATAATCATAGCAATAATGCGAATGTGAATACAAGTGTTCTCGTTATCTGTGTCATCCGTGTCCTATACGATTTGTATCACCACCCCTGATGAAACAATGTTGGTTCCCGGCCGTCGTGTGGGGTAGTGTGCATCCGAGGACATCGCCCCCGCCACGCACGGCGCGTTATCTTGGCACCCGCACCGCCAAAATGATTCGCCCCCCATCGTAGGCACGGACAGTTCCTTATCAAAGCTTGGCTCTCCCTTGCGTGGGACTTAATGTTGTTGTTGTTGTTGGTGTTGGCGGTGTTGTTGGTGTCATTGATGTTGTTGTTGTTGTTGTTGTTGTTGTTGTTGTTGTTGTTGGTGGTGTTGATGTTGTTGGTGTTGCTGTTGTTGGCCTTTTTTGTTTTAGCTATAATTCCCAGTGCTGATATTATTGTCGTTGTTCGTATTGGTGCCGTGCCGTCAGGGAGCCTTGAGGAGGCGGAGCAGGAGGAGGAATTTTCTATGTAGTTGAACCAAGTCCTTTTGACTGAGGCCCTTGCCCTCGGCTTGATCCGTAATGGCGAATAAGAGCCAAAATGGCTACGGGGGGGAAGAGGGGGAGGAAGAGGAGGAGGACCCCTGATGAGGAGGAATAGGAGGCCTTGAGAAGGACGAAGAGAAAGAGAAAGAGGACCCCTGCTCGGAAGGCCGAGCGCTAGAAAGACGCGCGGCCACTCCATTTCTCGCCCAGACCGACCACCTGACGCAGACTCGTCTGCGTCCAGAGCAGTTTCTGAGGATATCTCAGGCGAGGCGCTTGTCTCAGAACCACAAGGAGACCATATTGCGAGAATGTCTCAGGTAGTTTGCTTGTTTCGGCGAGCAGACTCGTCTGCGTTCACATGAAGGTGCGAGGTGCCAGGGTAACGCTTCTGGGGTGTCGCGTGCGTTATACTTTCGCCAGAGAAGGGGGGGGTCTTAATTGCTTGATGCGTCTATATGCTGCGGCGACCTTTTATCGAGCAGCTCGCCAGCGCGGTTTCAATGCGAAGCTGCTTCGGGGGCCGCGCGCGGTCCACGCAGGAGAGAGGATGTTGCATCACAGAGGCACGGCATCACGGAAGGCGCAGGGGAATGGAGCAGTGATTGTAGAGAGTTCTGCGGCGACCACGCTCACCAAGCTTGTGCTCCTTCTCCCCGCTTGGAGCTGCGCAGTCTGGCGGGCCCCAATTGAGCATCGGGCGCGTTATCGATGACATCGCGCTGCCGGTTGTTGGTCCGCAGCCTCTGGTTGCCCCGCAGACTGCGTCAGGCGCGCGGCCCCTCCTGGGCAGTTTCTCGGAGCTCGCGCTCCCCGTCTCGTCCAAGTCGACGCACGTGACTGGCGACTTGGCTTTGGATGTGACCCTCCAGGCGCTCTGGGACCTCCCGAAGGAAAGCCGCGTAGATCATGCCGGGAACCTTGGGCACCTTAAGGAGGGTGGCTATTACTAGGGACAGGTGGGTGAAGGCGAAATGGAGAGCCCAGATGATGCGTGAGTTCAGGGAGGCGGGGACCAAGACTGGGCGGGTCCAACGGGGGGCGCCCACGGCGTCGGCCCCATGGGGATCCAGCATCATGGTGATCCCCCCGCGTGCATTGCATCGGCTCAGGCTCGGCGCGATCAGCAGCCTCGACAAGGCCCCCAAGGGGCCCCGCCTCCAGAGCAATGCTGACGGGGTCCGCGTGGACCCGCCGTTCCTGAACATCGGGGTGGTCGCGTTCCAACGGGCGTCTGCGGTCTGGGAGTCGTTTCCGAAGCAGGAGGCCCTGAAGAAGTGCCTCGAAGGAGCCCTGAGCCACCTTGGGAACTCGCAGGCGCCTTGGAGAAGATGACGCTGCCGTTTTCAGCCTCCGCAGGAAAGGCTGGGCGTTTAGATCAGGTGCTTGCGCGGTCACGGATCGGCAAGAAGTATTTGACCTGCGAGTTTTGCCACCAGCTCTTGCGCAGGAGCCGTCAGTCCTTGGAGCTAGGGGAGCATCAGACAGGCAGGCGCTGCTCAGTCGCGAGCCTCAGGCAGAGTGGTGCTTGCCAATTGCTTGGAAAGGCTTGGAGGAGTTGTTGCTTCTAGCTCAAAGCAGTTGGACAATGAGGCTCCAGAGAACGTTGAGATCCTTGTTGTCAGGGGGCCACTGGGCGCAGGTGCGCCTCCACAGTCACTGTCTCGCGATTACTCCTGCGCGCCGTGTCCGCTGAGATCCCGACGGGCCCTTGCGGCGCAGGGCGCGCGGCTGTCCCAGGCATGAGCCTCTTCGGCGAGAGTTAGTGACAAGTTTCTTGGGGAGGGGGGCGCGCGGGGTTAAGGGGTGGGGCTTCGACGTGGGGGAGCGGTTCGCGCGGGGGCTGTCCCCGTCTCGCGGGCTCGCCTTCCCTGCCACGGTAGAGCCCCAGGGTCAGATCATGTGGCACAATCGTCCTGAGCTAGGGCTTCTCTCGGGCATTTTGTTTCTCGACGGGTCGGCCTTGTGGTCCCAGGCTCCGTTGTTGGCTCGCGCGGGCTGGGCGATCTGCCATGTTGACTGGTTCGGAAATTTGGAGGCCGCAGCACCTCGCCGTGCCCCTCTGGATGCGTGCCCCGAGCAGACGGCTCGCGATGCGGCAGACCACCCAGTCTCTATGCTCAGGCTGCGTGCGCTCGCCAATTCAAATATGTACATCGATTGTGCAGGCACGGTTGGGACCTTGCGCCTGGGCGCTGGCGGAGGGACTCAAAGCAGTTGTCCGCGGGGACAGCTCTGGAGTCCGTTCTGGGGCGCTTTCTCCGACGGGGACCTTGAAGTTTCTAGGACCACGGCCCACTGCACCAGGGCCCAGGTGGATTAAGGTGTCACAACCGAGTGGGAGTTCAAAGGGAACGCCGATGCCGACCGTTTCGCGAAGCTCGGGGCTGCCCAGCACGGGGTAGGGATCGATCATTATCAGTTGTTGCAAGGAGTTGAGCGCCTCGCTTCTGAAGCCGACAGATGGGCCAGGACCACGAAGACCTCATGGAGGCTCACTGGCGCTCTAAGGGCCCTGACGTGCCAACAGCTGTCGAGCCGCGCGAGCCCCCCGTGCCTGACCCAGATGAGGTTCCAAGGCCAGGGGAGCCCGAGGCTAGCTGTCCTGGGGGCGGGGGCGGGATTGGTGACCGCTGGGAGGAGCATGCTGCTGCGAGCTTATGGTGGCGAGGCCACAATCTGTTGCAGGCTGACATCCTTGATCGCACGTCCCCTGTGTCGTCAGTTGTGCTCTGTCTCCACTGCGGGGCGCTTTCGTCGGACGGCAAGCTTCCCCCAGGCCTCGAGAGCTGGTGCGGGTCCGAGCAGAGGAAGGCTGGAGGCTCCGACCAGGGGCGGCTAATGCTCAGAAAGGGGAGGTCCCCCCCTACCGCGCGAAGGTGCGCCAGCTGAGGGTAGGACGGCCCCACGGTGTTCTCCCGCAGGTCCGCGATTGCCTGGAGACCCAGGCGGGGCCGCGGCTGCCACCCGAGCCCCACCCTCGGGCCCGGAAAGTCGGGGTCGGAGGCTGCCGGGGGCAGGCGGCCAGGGGAGGACGGGCCGAGGTGCTGAGAGGGCGTTCGGGCTGTGTGGAGAGGAGCTCGAGCACGTCCGTGACCTCGGCCGCCTCACCGTCGAACTTCGAACGAGGCGATCCCGACAGCGCCGATGACTGCGAGTCGGGTGCCGGGTTCGATTTCGGTTGGTTTTGTGGGCATGGCCCAGCGTTTAGCGCAAACTCACACCATACCAGACAAGACCATACCATACCATACCATACCATACCATACCTCCTCCTCTTCCTTCTCCTCATGTCCCCCCCCCCTCGTGGGTCGAGGGCAACGCTTGGCACCTCTCTCGCGTCCGGGGGGGTGGAGGGGCGGGAGCCCCGAGGCCTGGGTCGAGGTCGGCGAGCCGGAGAAGGCGGATAGGCGCCCCGCGGGAAGCGGCGAGCGGGAGCACCGCCAGCCCGCCCCCGGCCTCCACCTCTGGTGGGGGGCGAGGGTGAAGAGGAAGAGGGCGAGGACTGGAAGGCCCGAGGATGAGAAGGAGGAGGAGGAGGAGGAGGAGGACGACGAGCAGTTGGATGAGGAGGAGGAGGAGGAGGAGGAGGAGGAGGAGGAGGAGAAGGGGGAAGAGGGGGAGGAGGTGGTGGAGATACAGTCGGGCTGCCGAGATCAGGAACGAACAATAAGAAGCAGAGCCGTTCCGAGACACCAGAAGCGCCTGGATGCACGAGGGAGGCTAGAAGAACAGAAGCGGAATGACGTAAAAAACAGCGAGTCCTTTCCGAACCCAAAGCAGAGTCCGTATTTCGGCGTCACGGCTGTAAAAGAGGACCAGAGGAGAGAGAAATAAGGAGAGGATATGCGGAGTTGTTCGGTTCAGAGGCGTCCACGTCGGGGGGTCCCCACCCCCTTGCCCTCCACAAATAAGCATCATGAATAATATGATCCTCCTTCCCCTGACTCCGTGCGGAGGATACCAGGCCCTCTCCGCGTGTTGCTTTTCACACATTGGATTTCAAACGTTGAGTGTTTCTTATGCTTGTTTATGGTCCGATGGTTTTCGATGTTTCAAAATGGTGTTCCCGCTAGAGTGTGGGCCGTATTTTCGGATCGGCGTGTTGCTCCCATCGTTCAGAATGGCGCTTTCGCCCCAGCACAGACCACATTTCTGGAGCCGAGTCTTTCTTCACGGCTGTCGCCACCCTCATTTCCCTTCGGCCATCTTCTTTTTGTCTTCTTGTTCCTCCCGTTACTTCCACTCCAATTCTTGTTGGCCTCGTCCTTTTTCTTCCGCTCATCCTCCTGCTCACCCGCCACCTCCTCCTCATCCCCATCCTCGTCTTATGCACGTATCTCCTTTTCCAGATTGCGCATGACAAGGAGTGGTCTTTTGGCTGGAGTTGCAGGTCGGCTATGACACGCGTCCGCGAATAGAGAACATATCAGCGCAATGGGAAGGGATGGGAGGGAGGGGTAGGTAGGATGTTAGAAGAGGCGCAAGCGCACCTAGCCTGTCAGATCCCCCTTTGCATCCCTCTGCCACATCCACCCTCTCCCCCCTTCCTCCACCGATTTCCTCCCCACTGTCTTCCTTCTCCTCTTCCTCCTCCTCCTCCTCCTCCTCCTCGGCATCCTCCTCCTCCTCCTCCTCCTCCTCCTCCTCCTCCTCCTCCTCCTCCTCCTCCTCCTCCTCCTCCTCCTCCTCCTCCTCCCTCCTCTTCCTCATCTTGTTTCATCCTCCCGCTGCTCGGACGCTTCTAGGCCCCAGTACCTTCAGCATAGTATCCCTGCGGAGTAAAAGCGAAAGACTCGAGGAGAGGGTTCGAGAGGCATCTGGCCCTGCGCAAACGCCGACACGGGCCCCGGGTCCCTGTCGGCATGCCCACCGCCTGGCGTCCCCGCGTGCGGCGCAGGGTGGCCCTGGCCCCTGGGAGCCCAGCGGCGCGGCCCCCTGCGCGCCCCGACTGGCACGGTGTCTGGGGAAGGCACCCGCGACCTGGATCGCGTCTGTGAGCCACCGACCTGTGGTGCTGCCTACCGCGCGGGCTGGATCCGCTGCCCCCACGGCCTCCACCCTCTGCTCTTCCCGCGTCTGCATCAGGGGCGCCCGGATTGTTCAGAACACAGGGCGCGTCGTGCGGCGCAGTTGTGTCTGTTTTGGCGCCGTGGGATGCTCGACGGCCTTAGATTGCCTTGGCTCGCACGTTCCTTTCGGATCACTGGACTACGGATCGCAGTGTCCTACTCCACTGTTGAAGTCCAACCGCGCCCCTCGTAGCGGCGCAACAATGCTATCTCCTTTGACCAGGGCGAGCACACGCCTTGCATGCTCGCCGTCGTGGTGGCCTCAGCGCCCATACCCATCTCGGTCACGGCGCCTACTGGGGCTCACGGGCACAGTGTCTGGCAACTGGGGACTGTTGGCCACTCTTCCTGGACAGTCACTCCGTGAGCCGCCCCATGTGCCACTCCATTTGCCACTCCACGTGCCACTCCACGTGCCTCTCCACGTGCCGCTCCGTGTGCCACCTCTCGAGCGTCTACCATCGGGGAGGCCCCGGCGTGCTCGCTGACACAGGCCCAGGGGGCCCCGGCTCGCGCCCACCGCGTCTGGCAGCCAGGGGCCGACGACCAGCCTCCCGGACAGCCGCTCCATGAGCCACGCCATGTGCCGCTCCATTTGCCACTCCACGTGCCGTTCCATTCCCTGCCGCGGTCGTTCTGTAGCGTGCGCCTACCTCTGTATCGATGGGCCGATCTTCCACCACCACTATAATGGGTAGGAGAGGGAGGAGGAGGAGGAGGAGGAGGAGGAGGAGGAGGAGGAGGAGGAGGAGGAGGAGGAGGAGGAGGAGGAGGAGGAGGAGAAGGAGGAGGAGGAGGAGGAGGAGGAGGAGGAGGAGGAGGAGGGAGGAGGAGGAGGAGGAGGAGGAGGAGGAGGAGGAGGAGGAGGAGGAGAGGAGGAGGAGGAGGAGGAGGAGGAGGAGGAGGAGGAGAGGGAGGAGAAGGAGGAGAAGGAGGAGGAGGAGGAGGAGGAGGTGGAGGAGGCGGAGGAGGAGGAGGTGGAGGAGGAGGAGGAGGAGGTGGAGGAGGAGGAGGAGGAGGAGCAGAGGAGAAGGACCTCCCCATCCTCGCTTCTCCCCCGTCCTGCCCATGGCAGTGGTGGTGGAAAACTGGCCCACCATGTAGACGCACGAGAGGCGCCAGCCACGCTCCGAGCAGCTGTGCCATCCACGACCCTGCCTCGCCGCCCTGTGCCCCGCTCCACGTGCCTGGCCTGCCGGCCGACCCCGCCGCCGCGGCCTGCGCAGGGGCCTTTCAGCTCGGCGCCTCCTTGGCGGCGGCTCTGGCTGGGCCGGCCGCGCGTGAGAGAGGCCTGTCTGGCTCGTCCAGGCGGTCGCTTCGAGGCCGCCAGCCGCACGTCGCCCTCTGCGAGCCCCCTGCCAGGGCGAGAAAGAGCGGGGCCTCTCGGGGCAGTGCGAACCGTGGTTCAAACTCCCCCACTTGCGACGTCGGCGATCCTGCGGTCGTGCGCCGTGCGGAGGACCCAGCTCGCCGAAGGAGTGGAGGCGGGGCCAGCACGGCAACGCAGCCTCCGCGGGCTCGCCAGCGAGCTTGTCTACTTCGGCATCCACATGGGCACCATGGAGATACGCCGTCGACGATACTGTCGCAGCCGCCTGGGCGGTTCTGGAGTGCCTCAGCACGAGCGACCCTCTATGCCCCTCCTCTCCCCCGTCGTCGTCGTCGTCGTCGTCGTCGTCGTCGTCGTCGTCGTCGTCGTCGTCGTCGTCGTCTTCGTCTGAGCAGTCGGAGGCCGTCGTCACCCAGGATTGCGACGGTGACGCCACGGCGGCATTGGGGCCACCAGGCCTGACGTGCAGCACCGCGGCGTCCACTCTGACGCACTCCTGCTCCACGACGGCATCCAGCACTCCCTGGGCGAGCAGTACCATGCCCCCCACGGTGCTTAACGGGGTCGGGCAGTACTACGGCATCCCCTATGACGTATTCGATCACCAAGGTGGCAGCCAGCTTTCTGGTGTCGAACAGCACTATGGTGTCCACTTCGGCGTATCCGACCATCCCGTTGGCATCCGGTCCAGCGGAGTCCAGAAGCACCACGGTGCCCACCACGACGCCCTCTAAAACGGCGGCATCCAGCTGTACGGAGTCGTGCAGTACTACGGTGTCCATCGCGACGTACTCAGGCACCTCGGCGGTATTCAGTTCTACGGAGTCGAGCCGCACCACGGTGACCATAACGAGGCCTTCGAGCGGCATGGCGGTATCGCGGTATCCATTTCTAAGAAGTTGAGCCGCCCCACGGTGTCCACATGGAAACATTTGCAACCACTCACCCCATGACGTAGCCCATGCCGTAGTCCACCGTGACCCGCCTTCTGAGCGTCCGCCGACTCCCACGGGCGTCAGCCAAGGGGGCCACCAGGCAAATGCTGCAACCATTCTTGTCGTCATAGTTCCTTGTGACTTTCCCTCCGAGCGTCCGTCGACAATCACTGCACTCCGAGACGGGTCACCAGGCCCAGCTCCATGACCGAACCATACGCCGCGTACACGTGGTGCGTCGCGCCAAGGAACAGCCGGGGCCTCTCCCTCGCACGGTTCCGCTGAGCCCAGTCCGCTTGTGACGCCACCCACTCGGCGTCTCCACCGCCTCTGTCTCCCGGGAGCTCCCCGCCGCGAGGTCACCCAGGCGAGACTCGACGCTCACCCCCGGCGCAACAACCGCTAGCTTCTTTTTCATCTTCACCCCATGAGAACGTCTGGCAACACGTTCTGCGGATCACGCTTTGAGTGTCGGCCGGGGGTGCCTTTCTGTCACGCATTCCTTCAGAGTCTCAGGGGCGCGCAGGCCAAAGCGTGCTGCAGCTGGACCTCCTTCCATCGTGGTCGTGCAGGTCGGGTGTGCCACTCTTGAGTCACCATGCCGCATGGACCATGCCTTGCTTTGCTTCCCAGACGTAGTCATCCCGACGGCGCTGGGGGGGAGGCTTGCGTCACCGCAGTTTCTGCAAGCGGCCCCTCCCGCCAAAGAAGCGCAGGCAGCGAGGCGCTTGTAGCCCCGCCCGTGGACGCACCCGTCGCCCAAATCGATGCGCTCTCCCTCTCTCCCGTTTTGTCCCTCTCTCTGTCTACCTTTTTGTTGTCTCTCTCTCTCTCTCTCGTTGTTTGTTATATTATTTTGTTTATCTCTCTCTCTCTCTTTCTCTCTCTCTCTCTCTCTCCCTCTTCTCTATCCCTCTCTCTCTCTCTCTGTTTCTCTCTGTCTCACGGTGCCTGCACCATAAAACCTCGACCGACATCCGCTCGAAACGTGATTCCTGACCCCTTCCGGGGTCCATCCTTGCAGGTTGTACGGGATGCGCCCAGCCGTGTCGACGGGAAACCCAACACAATTCAGCAAGTATGCAATGCTAGCGTCGTCTTCGGCAATTGCTTTGTGCGGTTCTCATGGAGCGGAGGGAGTCGGCAGAGGCGCGTGCGTAAGCGCATTCAGTCGTCGCCACAAGGTGCCTTCGGTCGCTCAGCTACGACGACCTTCAGCGGAGCAGCGAGGTCCCCCCCGCAATGAGCTCCGAGCAGCGCTCGCAGCTCTACCAGGAGCTGGTGAAGTTCATTGACCACGCGGACGAGGTCGCAAGCGCGGGCGGCGTCGTCGACCCGGACGGCCTGCAGCGTTTCTCCCGCAATTTCAAGCGCTTGGTGCACGATTGCGAGCTGGACCAGAAGCGCCTCAGCGTGCACACGGCCCGCACGGGCACCGTGGACGTCCAGCCCATCTCGGCGGCGAGCGAGGGGAGGAAGTGAGAAGCAGAAGGCCTTCTCAGAAGTGTTCTGTGTCTTCGGGGAGGGCTTAGGACACTTCTCAGAAGGCCGGGAGACTTCCGAACCTCCTGAAAAGGCTTTCTCCTTTATCACTTCCACCCCCGCGCCCGCCGCCGACCATCGCCCCGCCCGAGGCCCTGGCGGGCGCCCCCGCGCAGCAGCTGGCGCTGGCCTCGGGCCCCGCCGCGCCGCCGGGCGCGGCCGGGGCGCCCGAGGACGAGAGCCCAGACAGCACCGCTGCAGCGGGTCCCGCCGCCGCCGCCACCGCCGCAGCGGTCGCCCCCGACGCCGCGGCCCCCACCGGTGCCGCTGCGGAGGGCCCCGCCGCTGCCGCGGCCGCTCCGCCCACGCCCGCGGGGGCCCCGGGGGCGCTCGCGCTGCAGCCTGGCCCGCAGGAGGAGGGCGCGCTGGTGCCCGCGGCCGAGGAGACGGGCGTCCTGAGGGTGGCCAAGGCGGCCTGCCGCCGCAGGAGGCTGGAGCCGGGTCCAGGCCTGCCGTCGGCGATGATCTCCAAGTTCAGGCGCCGCAGCCTGGGCCTCGAGACGATCGAGGACCTGTTCGGCTTCGAGGCATACTTCTCCCTGCTGCTGAAGGGGGTGGAGCTCCTGAAAACCCACGCCCCGAACCGCGGCACTGCCTGCCACCGCAGGCTCGCGGAGCTGGCGCACTGTGTGGAGCTGTGCGAGATGGTGCTTACGAATAAGAGACTGGTGGCGCTACGCAACCCCATGAAGCGCAAGCTCCTGCGCGAGTTGGCCATGACCTCTGTGTCGCTGGCCTTCGAGGCGCGCCTCTGGCGCGTGGTCTTCAAACACCTGCGTGGGTTCTGCGACCAGAGCAACAACCAGGACGACATCATAGGGCTCGTCGCCCGGATCCTCTTCAACCACGCGGACGTGAGGGCGCCGTCGGGCCCGCGCGCGGACGCGCGCAACGAGAGGACGGCGTGGGAGAGGCAGCCGAAGAACCAGGTCGCCTCGCGGTGGGGCAAGCGTGGCACCTACGCCTCCTCGGTCACGGACGTGCGCTCCTGGGCCCTGCGGCAGTTGCAGCGCCACCCCAAGCTGTTCGGTCTCACCCTGCTCTGCGCCCACTTCTGCGTCACGGCGTCCAAGTACGACTTCGCGGTCGCGGAGTACACTCGCGCCCACCGCCTGCGGCCACACCACGCGCTCACGTCGCTCTGCGCGGGAGTCGCCTACATCTCCTTTGCAATGTCGCGGACGGTGGCTCGCCGCCACGACCTCGTGCTGAAGGGCTTCGCGTTCGCCCAGCGCTACAAGAAGCTGCGGCTGGCGGAGGGAGTCGCCGGGACGGGGGGCGCGGAGGGCAGCCAGCGGGCAGAGTGGCAAGTGGACGAGGTGGCACGCCGTGCCGAGGCCGCGTACAACTACGGCCGGATGTACCACCAGCTGAGCATCAATCACTTGGCCGTGGCCTGCTACGAGGATGCACTCGACCAGCTGGAGGCCTTAGGTCAGAGGAGGAACAGGTGCCCATACCTCTATCCTTCCCTCGTTTGCCCCTTTTTGGGCCTCCTGAGCGGCCCTCGTCGCCACAGCTGGATTCGCCTCGAAGTCCTGGTCAGAACGCACCCCGAGATAGGTCTGGGGAGTAGCGGTATCGGTACCTGTTGGTTTCTCCAGTAGGGCGCAGCAGCGGCGCGGGCTTCCGTCCCGACCTTTGTGTCGTCAGGCACTCCTCAGCATACAATTTGGCGTGTCTGCTCCGTGCGCAGGGCGCCGTCGAGATGGCGGACCAGGTGCTGATGCGACACGTGACCTTTTGACGCGGTAGTGGCTGGCGGCGGCGTGGGCTTCCAACCGACCTGTGCGCCAGCAGGCACTCCTTCGCATACACGTTCGCGCGCCTGCTACTCGCAGAAGGCTCCGTCGAGATGGCGTAGCAGGTTTGATGCGACACGTGACTTTCGCAGGCCGTTGTGGTTGGCGGTGGCCTTGGCTTCCAGCCGGCCTGTTTGCCGTGAGGCAATCCTTCGCCGTGGTGGCCGACGGCGGCGTGGGCTTCCTGCCATCCGTACTTGATGTCAGGCATGCGCGTGCACATCGGAGTACTTGCTCTGTATAGAGGGCGCCGTCGAGGTGGCGGACCAGGTGTTGATGCGCCACGTGATCATCTAAAATTGTGGTGGCCGACGGCGGCGTGGGCTTCCAGACATCCTCGCTTGCTGCCGGAAGTGCGCGTGCCCATTGGCCTGCCTGCTCCGCGAAGAGAGCGTCGAGATGGAGGACCAGGTGCTGCATCGCTACGTGGCCTGGCGCAGTGGCGGTTTGCGGCGGCGTGGGCTTCCGTCCCGACCCGCGTGGCATCAGGCGGGTCTTCCCGTTCACCGTGGCGCGCAAGTTCCGAGCAGAGGGCGTCGTCGAGACGGCAGACTGGGTGCCGATGCGCCGCGTAACCTCCCGACGCCGTGGGGCCGCCAGCGTTGCTCGGGCCCGAGCGATGAAGTTCTGGTCTGGCAGCGTGCCTTCTTGGCGTGGCGCGTTCTCGCCGGGGCTGTGTCGTGTCTCCGAGTAGGATTGGTGGAGGGCGGTCCGAGCAGATATGGACGGCGAAAAGAAGGAGGAGGAGGAAGCGGAGTGATGAGAGGGGGAAGTTGAGGCAGACGAGTTTCGGGAAGTTTGCAGCAGGGTGAGTCCAGGATTCCGGCCCGTGTCTTTATTACGGTTCAGATCTGAGGCGTATTCAAGTGTGTTGCATTTTTACTTTTGCGGCGACAGCCAGTAGCCCTACCTCGTTCGCTGGGTGTTCCCCTGTTAAGATTAAACCTGTTCATGCAGTTGCTCGAAAATTCATCTACTCAGCATCAACTGCCGTTCAATAGTTGCGTGCATCTTCTGTTGATGTTCACGGTGGTCTGGAACGCACACAAGAAGATGAGTCGTGATACCCCGTCTCTTTCACCATGAGAGTTCTGGATGCACTGTCCATGTGATCCCCCTTGACGTGATCTCCCACATGGCGCCTCTGATGATCACAGTTTTGTCTTCCCCTGCTGTCCACCGAGGGCTTCCACAACATCTGCCTCGTCGCCGGTCGCATGGCCGCCCTGGGCGTTACCACACAGGCTCCGAGACAAGTTTGACAAGCGCCACTGCCAGTCACACACTTCATCAAATTCTGCGAGCTTCGTGTACTTGGCAGATCAGTTGCATGTATTGTCTTTGCCGGGTGTTGGTGTGATTGCTTGCATGCTGCGGTACGCAAGACAGATCTGGAGCGTTGGCTCCAACAGTTCCCAAGCGCCAGCATCATTCGGAGCACGAGGGTTCGGACACGCACGCCTTCACTCAGATCTGGGGTTCTCGCACTGTTCGGCCTGTCGGTGCCGTTCATGGTCGTGGGACATTGAGCATTGTGCTCAGGATGAAAAGCCGATCTTGACGACAGCCCTGGCATCCTGGAACCATTTTCTTCAGGCCACTTACTCGTCATGGCAGGAAAGAGAGAGAGAGAGAGAGAGAGAACGAAAGAAGAAGATCACGAGACAGATGACATCATGTGAAGAGAAAGGTACAGAGAAAGATAGTACAAAGAGAAAGAGAGAGTGACGGACAAACAGACAGACAGACAGACATATCAGAGTGAGGGGGCCGAACGGTCATTCATTGTCCCTGCGTGCGTGGCTGAATGAGGAATTCGTGGTGAGGGTTCTGCTTGTTGCGTTGTTGTTGTAAGTGTCGTTGTTGCTGGTGTTGCTACTGTTGTTGTTGTTGTTGCTGCTGCTGGTGTTGTTGCTGTTGGTGTTGTTGTTATTGTTGCTGTTTTCTGCTGTTGCTCTTGTTCTTGGTGCTGTTGTTGTTGTGGTTGTGGTTTGTGTTGTTGTTGGTGGTGGTGTTGTTGTTGTCGTTGTTGTTGTTGTCGTTGTCGTTGTCGTTGTCGTTGTTGTTGTTGTGGCTGTTGCTGTTATTGTTGTTGTTGTTGTTGTTGAACCTTAAGGACTAAACACGTATTATTGTTGGACCCCTTAAATCCGCTTTGGCGTTCTCGCCTAGGCGCCGGCTGCATTTCCTCTGAAATTGAGGCTCACGCTCAGGCGTTTCGGGGGTGCGCCAAAACCGGCCCCCCAACATCAACAACGCTCCGGCTCGATACTTCCTCCTTTTTTACTCAGGCCCGGTGCTCTTGCTCGCCGCCGAGAGCCCGTTTCCCCACCAGACCAGCGCTCCGGCTCGATACCCTTTTACTCAGCATCGGCTCTCTCTCTCTCTCTCTCTCTCTCTTTTCGGCTTCTGCAAGCGCCTCCCCCCCCTACAACAACGGCGCTCCCGCTCGAGACTTTCTCATTGTTTACTCTAGACTGGGGCCTTTGTTTCGGCATCGCCTCCGGGGGGCTTCCAGAGTCCCTGTGGAAACCCTACTTCTTCCCTTTTTACGGCTCCCCTCTTCGGCTTCCGCAAACGCATCCCCTACAACAATCCCGTTCGATACTTCCTTGCCTTTTGCGCAAGACTGGGGCCCTCGTTTCGGCATCGCCTCCGGGGGGCTTCCAGATGCCTTGTGAAACCCAGCGCTCCGGCTCGATATTTCCTTCCCTTTTACTCAGGATCGACGCTCTCGCTTCGGTTTCCGCAAACGGCCTTCTACAACAATGGCGCTCCCGCTCGATAATTCCTCGTCCTTTACTCAAGACTGGGGCCCTCGTTTCGGCATGGCTTCCGGGGGGGGGGGGCTTCCAGAGTCCCCCTGGAATTTAATTTCCTACGCGATTCTATGCAATTCTTATGAATACCCCCTGGGGCTCTCGCCCACCCGGTGCATTTCCTTTGCCATTGGGACTCAAACTCAGGCGCTTCGGAGTCCCGCCCAAACTGGCACCCCAACAACAACAACAACAACAACAATCATTTAAGACTGGGGACACTCCGTTCTCACCAGTGCCAGGGTTTTCATAGGAGGCGGGCAATACCCCCACTTTGTGGGGGGGCCGGTTCAAGCTCTACCAAGTTTCCAAACGACTCTTCGCCACCACCCACACCCAGCTTCCCGCCCTATGACGTTCGGACACTTCACTTCGTGGCCTGCGGACGACCTTGGCTACTACACTGGCGCATGGTTACAATGACTTCTTGTGGTAACATCTTGTGGAAACTAGCTTAGTATACGACTTATACCCCTGTTCCAACAATGGGCACGTTCCAACCCCTGTTCCATATACACAGCGCGCGCGGGTGGAAATTTTGAAAAGTCGTGCAGGTGTTTTTCGAGGACCTACGGTGCGATTCGTGTGATTTTATGATGCGCGGTGCTAAAATTCTTAAGAACCCAATGGTTTTTGGAGATTTCGGCGTGCGCGCGCGAAGAAAAAACGAATGTGTCCCGCATGGTATTATTTGACAGGGATGATGGCCCTGGCAGGTGCGCAACCGTTGTCGCAGAAGTTCGAAAAAGTTGCTCGCAAAAGCCCGTTTGACAGAAATGTTTAAAAAGTGTTGGGTTTCCTACGAATCCGCAAGAGCGCGCGGGATGAGATTTTGACATTTTTGTGTTGAAAAACCATTGGTTTTTTGATGTTTTTATGTTAAAATCGCTCCGAACACTAAGCTTTTGGAAGGATTTCGTCTTGCGCGCGCGAATGTCCACTTTACCTTATTTTTTGCAAGGGATTCTTGAAATTTGATTATATTAGAACAAGAAATGTCATTTTATAGTGTTTTTTGCAAGGGAAAACGGATTACAACAAAACAACCGGATCTGGATCACATCGTTTTACCTGAGGCTTCCTCACGAAAATGATGAAAATGTAGCTGCGGCCTAGGCGGCGCAGGGGGGGCGCGCACCAGGGGGCCCAACAATAATTATTCTTTAGAATAAATAATGTTCAACAACAACAACAACAACGCTCCCGTTCGATACTTCCTCATCTTTAAATTCAGGCCCGCCTCTGGGGGGCATCGGGGACCTTAGGAAGGTTCCGAACATGCCAAGTCAAGGCGCCACAAACGATCCTAAGACAGAGGCGTCCATAAACGACCATGTGCGCGCGAAGAGGTTCCGGACGGCCCACGAGAGTCCCAAGGCGGCCCAAGAGGGCGCCCAAGGGAGCTTCGAACTATCAAATGCAGTTGTTATCCTCTTGGTCGTCTTCTTCTTCTCCGTCCATGATCTGGTCCTCTTTGCCCTCTCCTCCTCTTCCTCTCTCCTCTTCTCTCGTCCTCCTATTCCTCCTTCTCGAGAGCCTCGTCCTCCCTGCCCCCTCCGCTCTCTTTCGTCTTTCTGCGCAGCTTCGGGCCTTGCGCGGACCATGCAGGGCGCGGAGGGGTGATCACGGAAGGTTCGTCGTCAGGCTGACTGGGCGTGGGGACCGCCGCTGTGACAATCTGCGTGGGTTTCGTTTCCCTGCATGGCTGCTCACGTAAGGACGCGTGGACATCGTGTAAGGTCGCGAACTGCGTCCCTTCCTAACGGGATGCGTGGTTTTTCCAATACGGTTTGGGGGGGCGGGCCTGGTCCCGGGCAATGGGTCCGCGCCCATGGGTCGCGGGCGCCAGAGTTCCAGAGTGGAGCACCTTCCGCTGCCGGGCAGCGCGGGCCAGCCGGCTGCACAGAGGAGCGGCGGGCTCGCGGGCCGGCCGGCTGCACAGAGGAAGGGCGGGTTCGGTATTTTTATGGGCTCGAGCGTCGCATCCACAATCAGGTGCCTGTCCTTAACGTTTGTACTCGTTTTTCGCATGGTTGGCAAGCCCATTCCGGATCATCCTTGCACTGCTGATGGGGCAACCTGCTCCACAATAGCACAAACGCGTCTCACTTGATACACTTCTGCATCATATGCTGCAATTCCATATATTATGGCCTTCGGCTTGGGTCGTGGACACGAGGCTTCTCTGGGAGGTTTCTTACGGTCTTCTGGGGAGCCTCTTGGAGAATCTCTTTGGGCCTTTGGCTTGCCATTTTGGGCCTTCTGGGGGGGGAGGTTCTTGGTGGCCTCTCGGTGGGTTTGAGGGTGGGGCCATTTCGGGGCCCGACGGCTCTTGGAAGCTTCCGGATACTCTCAGCGGCCCCCGGGGGCCTCTCAGCAGGCAGTCGTTTCACGCGCCTGGAGATCGCCATGCCAGAGGGGCAGTGGGTCTTTAAGAACTTTCCAACGGACACACAAACATGGTCCTTTTCACATGCGCGCGCCGACGTAGGGTGCCGCATGTGCCTGGTCCAGCCCGCGCGGTGCCCCCTGGGAGGGGCTGCGGTTTCGCTGGATTGTGAGGACGCTTCAGAGCGGAACGCCACTCCACATCCTTCCTGCTCCCCCACCCATTTCAACCCACGCTCCCCTGGGTGCACATTGCCGGCGCCAGCGCGAAGATAAGAGGCACCTGGGGGGGCGCCCCGTTCCGCGAATCCCACTGCAGAGCGGGGATCTCGACCCCCCAATGGGATTCGCGGAACGGGGGGGGGGGCTTTGGTAGGCCGAAACATGTTTTTGGGAGGGGAGGGCTGGCCCGTTCTTTCGGATGGGCACAGCCCCCCCCCCTTGCCGGCCTCCTCTCCTTCATTTCCCTACTCCTAACGTAACGCGCCCGATTTAAGTTATTGAATATTATACATTTGCACCCTGGGAGGCAATCTTGGTTTCCCGGCGGAAGTCCGGTCGAGGTCTGATGGAAGCTGGTGGACGTATGATTCCTCGGGCCCGACGAGGCCATAGTCTATACAATTGCGTTTAATTATGTAAGCGGCTGCGCCGTTCCGCCCCTTGGAATAAGGCCGCACCTTCCTCAGGCGTCCGCTTGGGGAAGGCGCGGCCTACACGCTGATCGTTGACCTGGCGCAACCATGTGACGCGCGGTGATCTGGAGTGTTCGCTCACAGAGGCATGGGGGTGGCCCTCATTG